GAGCTATTGCCTCCAAGGCTGAAAATGACGTTTTCTACTTCCTCCACTGTAAATTCAGCATCTAGTAATTTCACACTTTAACTGCTTAATGCATTCAATTTATTCGGCCAACCTGTTATAATGCAGTCTCGTTCCTTCCATTTTTGAGAAAAAAATCTCAAAAAAGCTTGTTCAATAGCAGCTTGATCGTTTACCAAGTTCCCCTCATCATCCTTTATTTGCTTTATGAAATTACCATTCTTCCTCCCATTAACAAAAAAATGGAAAAACTGAGAGTTAATATCACTCTCCTTAATCCATTTTAATTCCACCCTTTGTCTCCACCAAACGTTTAACCTTGCTAGAGTAATGTTCAATTCATGAAGTTTGGATTTGAGCAACAAAACTGATAGTTCTGACATGCCATTTCTACTTTCTTCTTCAATTTGCAGATCATCCACCTCTTTTTTAAGTTTCTCCTTAAGCTCCAACAGATTTTTTTGTTTAGATCTACTCCAAAAGAGGAGGGTTCTCAATACAAAATGAAATTTCTTATTCAACACCTCCATAGGACCACCTTTAAATTGCTTGATCCATGTTTTATTGACAACATGAAAGGCAGTTGGATAAGAGATCCAAACATCTTCAAACTGCAACATTTTTGTGTGCTGAAAATTCTGGAAATCTAACTTCAAAACCACTGGACAAAGATCATATGCTACCCGCGCCACATGGCGGTTAACAGCATGAGGTAGAGCTTCCAAAGCCTTAGAATTGAGAAGACACTTATCAAGTCTCTCCCAAATACGGGCACCTCCACTTTTTTTTATTACACCAAGTGCATGTAGGCCCAACAACTCCCACATCATGAAGATCAAAAAGGTTCATGAACAAATTCATCTCTTGAGGAGAAAGAGAGAATTTGAATTTCTTACCTCCCCTCTCGTCATCTTGAGAAAGGATGCAGTTAAAGTCACCACCGATAACATAAGGTAACTCCAAAGAAGAATGTGAGCCTATGCAATCCCACAAGCTCCTCCAACTATACACATCTCTACTCCCATACACATTAGAGATAATCCAAGATCCTTTATTAGCTATACAAAGCTTCCCAATCACACATTGCTCATTTACTATTATTAAAGAGAAACTGGTCAAATCAAACCTCCACATCACCACAATCCCTCCTGACAAACCATTAGAAGGATAAAGAAAGAAATTCCAATCTTTACCCATGTATTTACTAAATTCCCACTTCTCCAAAGAATCAATTTTAGTTTCAACAATGCCCACATAGATAGCATTCCAATCTCGGACAACCTCCTTCAAATATAGTGGGGCCTCCCTCTTATTTGCCCCCCTACAGTTCCAAAAAACAAGAGAACTCATGTAGCCACCGAGGGTGAAGGTCCCCCACCCTTCTGTTAACAAGAGAACTCAAGATCCCTTTTAAGGATTTTGTAATGCATTATAAATATGAGTCAAGGACTAATAAGTCTAAATAATGTGTTATTTTATGTGTTACAATTTCAGTGAAAATATTATTTTAGTTTTATTGTGCTTAAAAATTACAAAAAAAAAGTCCTAAAACTCTAAGTTTCATGTAGCGCCTCTTTTGAGAACAAACATCGTCGCAGTGCCCTCAAAAACACCACTAGAACGTTATAGTATCAGCATTGCAGCACCAAATTCTCTATTAGATAGCACCACAATGTCAAATAGTTTAGCTTTGCAACGCTATTTTTTTTTATCATTCAACATCCCATCCTCACACTTCAAAATGCCTCAACTCCCAAGTTTCACTTTTGGTGCCGTAGCATTTGAAACTAAGCAGTTCCTTGTTGTAGCAGTTGTAACTTTCCTAGGACGCGACCTGTCAGTGAAGCGATGCCTGTTCACTAAGTAACTAATCCACATCAGTAAGAATGGTGATGAAACCAGAATAGTAGCACAACGACGTTAATTCATTTTTTTTGGCACAACAGCATCAATCTTTCAAGCGTCAAAGTGCTAGATGCCTACTTTGTGTTTTCCTATAAAACGACACTATATTATATTTATAAGGAAGTTCAGTCATTAATATAGTTTCAGTATAATTTAGAGTGCTTCTCTAAATTTCCTTTAAGGTGACAACTAAGGATATTTTGAGAAGTACTTGATACCATTATTAGAGTGTTTAGCTTGTATTTGTGGAAGAAAATCTATAAGTAAGAAGTAGCGTAGTGGATATCCATTGAACCATTCTTGTGATATCTATCTTTTGAATTTTTGTTTCTTTCACGTTATTAGTGAAAATGAGTTTGCTTCAATTTTACTCTATGTCTAGCTAAATATTTTTGTTTTGTATTGATGATGTAAATATAATTTGTAGTATAATAAGTTCTCTTATTCCTTAAATCATTAAAATGTTATTTTTAATATTAGCATATCTTAACTTAATGAATGTAGTGGCCAAATGTGTAGTTACAACTAGGTGTAATGTGGAGCCCCGATAGAGTGAAGCAGATATAACTAAAAATATTGAATTAGTATGTATCATACCTATGCATAGGGTATAAATTATATTAAAATATTAAGGAGATAATATAACCAAAGGAAGTTGGTGGAAATCCTGATTTCCTACAAGCTCGACAAAAATCTTGGAATGCATGCACTTATAATAGCATCAAAATCGCAAATGGGAAGTCTATTGATGTGTTAAATGACACTTGGATCTTGGACAAAAGCCTAAGAAAATGGCCAACATTTATCATGAATGACATTGGTGATGCTATGGTTGAAAGTTACATTGTAAATGGCGGCTGGAATTCGAAAAAATTGAATGAAGTTATGGGTCTTGAACTAGTGAACCTAATTTGCCAAATTAAAATCAAACCAGAGATGGAGAGAGATAGATTGGAATTGATTTGGCTAAAAACTGGAAAGTCTATATCTTCCATGGTGTTTGAGGCTTCGGTTCATAACTCAACTTCAGTTCAATATTGGAATTGGATTGGAAAATTTAAACTAATGCCATGGCTTGAAGTTTTCTATTGGAGGATTTTCATAATGCCTTGCCTACTTTACACTTTCTTGCTTGCAGAAGATTACATAGGGATATTGGATGTCATAGGGATTTCAATGAATGAGAACATATAGAGCATATTATGGTTTAATGCAAGAAATTATTGTAGGCTATTCGATACTTAAGTAAATGGGGTTCTTTCATTCCAATTTTGTTTTTATCTGAATTTTGTATTTGGTTATCTAAAGAGAAATCCTTCTTGGAAATCTTATAATGTAACATGGTTTTATTCTCTTGGAAATCTAGAAACAAATTGATTCATAAAGGGATTGAAGACAGTGCTTTGGCTATTACTGCAAACGCCTTAAGCTATGCATCAGTTACTGCTCACGGTGGTAGTGGGAATTCGGGTATATGGGGTGTTAATGAGCCGTCTAGGGTGAGTGATCTACATTGGCACCCTCCTCCCCCTTGATTGGATTAAGGTTAATGTAGATGCTTCATTACTTCCATCTTACAAAGCTGGAATAGGGGGCGTATTTTGTGAATATAAAGGTAGATTTCTATTGGCATTTGGAAAGTCTGGTATTCATTAGGATGTCTCTTCTTTGGAGTTATTTACTACTCATGCTATCAAGGAAGTTATCAAAGATTGGATGTATAAGGGAATCATCATAGAAGGGGACAATGAAAATATCATCAAGTTTCTTCAAGAGGAAAAATCAAATGGTAGTTCTTTCTTTGAAGTTTATCATGTAATTAATAAGTTTGATCATGCAATTTTTAATTGTATTGATAAAAGAGGTAATAAGTTAGCAGAATTATGTGCTAAATATGCTCTTCTTAGCTCTTTTATTTGGGGTGATATTAGTTCTAGTAAGATTCCTCCTTTATTTGTGTCTTTATTAAAGGAGGAATCAGATGTTATTAGCCTGTAGTTTGTTTTTTTCTTTTCTTTCCTTAATGTAATTTGCTGCATTTTCTTCAAAAACAAAAAATTAATAGCATCATAATTAAAAAAAATCATTGGGAAAAATATATTATTTATATTCATCAATCCCAAACATTATATCTATGTAATGAATTTATTATCATTATCAAATTTTTTAAAGTGATTGAATCTCCCCAACATCCATTTTTAGTAGGATAATTATTATAATTTAAGTAAATAGTAGTAGTTGATTATGAAAAAACATACTTTTTCGTGGGTTCAACACTCTACTCTATTACTTTATTAATTAATTATGCATGTATACTTTTATATATTAAGTGGGTTTAAAAAATTTATATCAAACAAAACCTAAGTATTTTTTTGGGGAGATAGATATTTAAGTATTCATTGTTAGAATTCTAATTTAAATTTACACACATACCCCATCAATTTTTTTTTGGAGTCGTTGCCATGGAAGTATCGCACTTTTACCAAAATTTCAGTAATACTGTTGAATTAAATGTATAATTAGATGTATTTATTTTTTTATTATTATTGTTTAGTTTTTTTTATCACAAATTGTATATTCTATATTTTTTTGTTGCATACTTTATAGCCTTATAAAGGAACTATTTTCATTTGACCTTGAAATTGAGAAAACACATTCTAAAATTCGAAAAACCAAAAAGATCTCAAAAATGGCTGAATCTCAGTCAGAGCAAAATTATTCTAGACATCTTCATGATTATGCAAATCGTTTAATAGATGGAATTTATGAGAGTATAAATACACCTACAACCCAAGCTAATAATGTTGATGTAAAACTAGTTATCTTTCAAATGGTCCAAAACTCTTAGTTTGGGGGAACTCATGTAGAAGATCCCAATTTATATTTAGCTAAATTCTTAGAAATTTGTGCAACAATTAAATACAATGGTGTCAGTGATGATGCTATTAGACTTAGATTGCTTCCCTTTTCTTTATGAGATAAATCCAAAATAAGGTTGAATTCATTATCCTATTACAACTTAGAATTAATTGGATCATATATTTCTCACTAAATATTTGTTGTCTTAAAAAATGGTCAAACTTAGAAATGACATAACTTTTTTTTCTCAGTTTGAAGGAGAATCCATTTATGGGAGTTGGGAACAATTTAAGGAAAACCTTAGAATATGCTTGCATATTGTATTAACTAATTAGTTGAGTATTCAAATGTTTTATAATGGATTAGTAGGATATCTTAGAGCTATAATTGATGTTGTAGTTAGAAAATAATTAATGTCTAAGCCATTTGATGAAGCTTATGAATTAATAAAGGAAATGGATACTACTAGTTTTGAGTGATCTGTTGATAGGATAAATCCTAAAAAAGTATATGGAATTTATAAATTGAATGCCTTATCAATTTTGACTGCATAAGTGGTAGTGATTTTAAGAAGTTGAATATAATAGGAATAAATTCTAGAATAGGAACTAAGACATAAAGCGATCAAAATTTAATTAAAGATAATATTATGCAAGGGAATGAATATATTAATGAAATTGGAAGAAAAAATAATTTCTATTGAAATTCAAATAATACAGGTTGGAGGAAACATCCTTATTTTAAATGTGTCAAATAATATGGGTGGTAGTAATAAATGCAACAATGGGAAATATAATCAAGGAGTAAGTTGATGCACTTGTTAACAATATAAGTTTATTCTTATACTTATAAGTCCTCAAGGATTTAATATATGCAATCCATTTCAAAATAACAAAATAGCATTGGTGGATGTAGTTATGAAGTTAGGAACTCAATTATAAAATTGAGCTTCTTCTATTAAAAATTAGGAAACCCTTTTAAGTCAGCTTGCAATTTCAATCAGTAGTAGACCTCTTGAATCTATAACTAGTAATGCTGAAATAAATCTAATAAAAAAAAAGAAAAAGAACTTAATTGAAGCCATTTGAAGAATGAAAATAATATACCACATCCAAATTGAAAACGTTTGGCAAACTCTGGTTGGAGATAATAAACATAGTGCTATGTGGGAGGCAACCTAGAATTAGGTTTAGTACAGTAAGTCTGGCTGAAGACTATAAACTTAGCACTTCAAGGGAGGCAAAATAGTTTATAGCTTATGTGTGATAAATAGGAATTGTTAGTTTAAAAAAATTTTGAGATATGAAAAAGTGTCGCAACAGTGTGCCATGATATGTTATTTTGTAATTCAAATTTGGAAAACATCCTTTAACTTGAAATGTATAAAAATATCTTGATGGAAATTTAATTATGAATCCTTGTTAACTATGTCAAATAGTGTTATATTCTTCTTCCTCAAAATTTAATTAAAGCAATGGATAGAATCAAGCAATGATATTCCTCTTCAAGGATTAAAAGTGAAGAAAGTTTAGAAATTTAAGATTTATTTTCTCTTCTCCACATGCAAAGTCTACTACCATTAATAAACATAATAAGTTCAATGACGAAGTTCATGAGAAAATAAGAAGATACAATTCATAAACAAAGAAAATAAGTAATCTAAGGTTTTAGAGTATAAATTTCATCCTAGTAAAGATGTTCTACTACTTGATTATAAGAAGAAGTTTTTCCATGCAAATAATTAAATCTGGATTGGTAGGCCCATATTTCATTATTAGAGTACATCTTAGTGGTGCCGTCAGCATTTAAGATAAGAATCATTTTGATATTTTCAAGTTAAACTGTCATAGATTCGAACCATGCGATTAGGCAAATAAAATAATCATGAATTTGAAGGAATAAAAAGAATGAGTTTGTATCATTATTGTACTTTATATATTTTAGAAGAAATTCTCTCATGTGAGTAATTAGTATAAATAGTTTGAACACAACTTGTTGCTTTAAATTGTAAAGCCAATATGTTAAGCATGGTGCTTAGTACACTAGTTATCCTGTAATCAATGTTATGTTTTGTTATATTTTATTATGTTATATTAATACATATTTTAAGAACCTTTTATCATTTATACGAAAGAATGTATAGTCTTAAATGTTATTTGTGTTTCTTTTATTTACATTTCATTGAAATTCTCCTCATATTTGTTATAATTGTTTTTAGATTTTGGTTATTTAAATAACCTTAGTAAAAATGATAATTAATAAAATTAATAAAATTAGGATAATAATAAAACTCTATATAATAGTTTAAATGAACACTATTTATATTTCATAGATTGGAAAAACAAATAATTACCATCCAACTTAGGTCATTTAAAGTATTGCTTTAATTTGAAATTATAAGTTATATAATTATTTATTAACTTTGAAATAAAGATGAATAATTAGAATTAATGATTCGATATGAGTATATTAAAATTTGAAATCATAAGCAATCCAAATTTGGAATGGGGTAATCTTATTGAATCCTTATATAAAACTCATGAAGATCATAAAAAGAGCTCGAAGCAAAAATAGATATTCATAATCATTAACTATGTACTACATAAATTAAAGAGAAAAATAACTGTGAAAATAGTTGTAAAAAGAAAAAAAGATATAAATAGAAGGAAAAAAAAAGTACCTTCAAAAATTGATATATGTTAAATGCTTAGAATCTGATTTTAATCTTATACTTAAATTCATAAAGGATAAATTAAAAAAATAGTTCAAATGATAGTGAACGAAAGAAGTTTAAATTTTAGCCATAAATTTAACTAATCATTAAGTTATATAATTCATTTTAAAATTTAGAAATTAATAATTAAATATAGAACCTATAAATTCAAATTAAGTAATAATAAGTAGCTGATTCATAATCATTAGCTTTTGTTTAGTGGATACTATTGGCTCATAGGTTTTATTTTGCTTTTTTGTAGCTCATTTGAGTATTAGTGAGCTTATGGTCTCCTTTAAGGACTCTGTAATTATTTTTATTTATTAATGCGTAGGCCATTCCACCAATTTTAACCAAAATAAAAAATAAAAAAAAATAAAAAAAGGTTGACATATTTGTATAATTATTAGTATTTTTTGTAAAGTGAAATTATAATCTTATTAATTTTTGCTACTTCTAAACCATTATATATTATCCAATATATTAGTAATTTTAAAATATCATTTAATCATTTAATAAGAATTATAATTTATTATTTGCTTGAGGACAAGCAAGAGTTTAAGTTTTGGAGAATTTGACTAATTTGCATAATTTTTTATTTTATGTGTTATATTTTAAGTGAAATGTGTTGTTTTAGTTATATTGTGAAGGAAAAATATATAAAAAGTATAAAATTATAAGTTTTATATAATGTCAAGGCGTTAGAACAAACAACACCGCAATGCCATCAAAGACGCCATTAGAACGCCAGAATATCAACTTTGTAGTGCAAACTTCTATGTTGGACACTGAAGTGGCGCAAAAAATTTTAGCTTTGTAGTTTCATGTTTTCCATTATTCAACACCACAGTCCCACACTCTATAACATCTATGTGCCCAAATTACTCTTCTAATATCGCAACATTTGAAAGTCAGTAGTGTAGCGACATACTAGTTGTAATGTCCCACGGACATGACCTATCATTAAAGTGATGTGATTGTACACTAAGTAACTGATCAACATCAGCAAGTAATGTAGAAGAACCAAAAAAATAGTGTAGTGGCATTAGTTCATGTCAAAACTTAGTTTTTGAAACTATGTTTTTATATCATGTGAGTTTTTCATGATACTAAAATATTATTGTGTTGATTACTGTTTCTACTAACACATATTAGAAAAATCTTATTTGTGTTGTTTGTATGTATTAACATTTCAAAGAAATTATACTCCAGACTATCGAATACTTCAAGACATATTAGAATAGGGTTTCTTGTAATTAAAGTCTATACCTTTTTCTATTTTTCTTGAGTCTGAGAGAATGTGTGATTGTAATTGGGTAACAGCACACACACATTAGGGGTGTAACTCAAAACATATATTTTTAAAACTAATCATATTGTACAATTATAGAATATGAAGCATGATTTGATTTAAGTATGAAATGTGCTCGTCTATGTTTATACCATATGAAGCATGATTTGATTTAACTAATTTTGTATAGTACGATGTAGAGTTGATACAAACAACGATTAGATTATAAAATGGGTTTGTCAAATATTATACCGAACGAACCTATTGACTTTTGAATTGCTCATACGGTATGATGTTAGTTCATACATATGACTACCAGAGTATGAAATAAATTCATATAGGATCATACAAGAATTATTTGAACTATTCATGCATATGTTGTATAATTGTACTATACGGTCCAAGTACGTTCAACTTGAAATTTTTAATTTTTGGGTGATTCTTCATATCTTTCATATATAACAGTCTTATAAACTAACTGTCCATACTTCTTCAATGAGTTTTCTCTAGAGAGCTAAAGTGAGAGTGTTTTGGGAGAGTATTTGGGAGTGAGGATTGAGAGATCTTGTAAGTGGAATTTGTGAAGTGTTCATAAGGTTTCCCTAAGGTGAGGATCTCTTTATACGTTCTTCTAATATCTATCTGAGTTCCTTGAAGACTATCGAGAGAATATCTTTGGAGAAGATCCAGTACTCTGGCATCACTAGGAGGGGTGAAAATGATGTTGGTACTCTGTCGTCACTAGGAGAGTTAAAAAGGATGTTTCTACTCTGCCATCACTAGAAATTTGAGAAAGGAGGATGGTACTCTACTATAGTGGGGTTTGGTGGAAGAGGGATTATTATAAGGCCTTCTTGTTCTTCCTGTTGGAGAAAAAATGAGAGTCACTTTGGTATAGTGCAATACCTGAAGAGGGAGTCTTCAGGGAGTGGACATATATCTAGTTGGATCAAACTGCTATTAAATTTGATGTTTCTTTATCTTTACTTTTTACTGCTTTTTATGTTCTGTACATTTACTTTTTGTTGTTGAAAAAGTTATTTTGAGAAAATTTATCATTGTGTATAAAATCTTAAATCGATTTTCTAAATTACCAAGAATTCTTAAATTATAATTCACCCCCCCCCCCCCCCCTCTTGGTTAGCATTGAGACCATGATTAGGTTACAACTTCTTAGAACTTTTAAGTGGTATTAAAACTTATATTCAAAAATTAAGGTTTAGACAACCTTTTTAAGATGATGGCTAATTTTAGCAACTATCACACTTTTGAAGGATATTCGATCACTAGCCACCATTGTTTGATAACATCCCTTTCAAC